AATATTATTAAAGATTTTAGTAAATCGGGTTAAAGCAAATATTTGTTTCTATTTATTTTTGAAATAAAATTTTTTTTTCGAATAATATAACATTTTAAAAAATATTTCAAAATTTCATAAATATAATAAATATTTTCGTAAATATTTTATATAAATATAAAAAAATAATTTTAAATAATAATATTTAAAATAAATAATTTTTAACATTACTACAATAAAGTCATACTAAATATAGGACATATATATATATATATTCATGGGACAAATTACATTGAAGAATCGATCATAGGAGGTAAATTAAATATAAAACTTAATGTATAAAAATGTTTATTTATTAAATTATAAGAAATTATAAGAAAAACTGTTTAATGAAGCGAGACGAGTCTCAGTCTTCGTTATTCCATCATCATACTCTCTATCTGTTTCGCTTTATCTAATGCAAACTTAAATTGTTTATCATTTAATAACTGATACTTTCATATCAACTGATATTTATTTATCAACTTTTGTGTTTGTTTTGGTTTCTATTAATTAATTTTTAAAAATATTCTATGAATATATTAACTTTGTATAAAATAATTTTGTATAAAAGACTGAATCTATTTTCAATATTTGAAGAATAAAAAATTAAAAGTAGAAAATTATTTTTATTGAATGAAAAATAAATTTTTTTTTTTAATTTCAAACGAATTTGAATATAAATAGTAAATAGCTTTAATAATTAAAAATAGCTATAATAATTTAAAAATTAAATGAAAAAATATTTTCGAATATTATTTCCTTATAGAAATTTCGCTTTTCTAATATGCATTAATTGTTTCAAATTTTCTTCAGATCAGGTTAGAAATAGAATGAAAATAATATTTCTAAAGTCAAATTTTAAAATAACTAATAGTTATAAATTATTAGTCATAATTATTATTAAATTATAAATTGTTTATTTAAAAAGTAGCAAAATCTTAAAAGTGGCAATTCTTTTAAAATTTTTTGTTTCTTTCTAAACTCTAGTATCTTTCTAAACTTTTTTCTACTTTTGTAATAGCATTATTCATTCATTATTATATTTTTTAAAAAATATAATAATGAAAATTTAATTTCTTCTAAGTTAAAATTTTTGTTTATATCGTTGACTGAAAATTTGAAAATTCTTAAATCATCATTTATAATTATATATTGATGATATTGATGATAATTAATAATATTATTATTAATCATATTAATAATATTATTATTAATTAATAATTGATGATATATAATAATAATTAATTAATTTTATTATCCATAAATTATTTTCTTCAGGTTTGAAATAATAATTAATTACTATAATGAAATAATTAAATTATTCTCTCCAAAAAAAATATAAATAATATTTTTGTATTCCTATATTATTATTTGTCATTATAATTCCTTAGCAACTCTAATTATCATTATTATATTATTATTATTATTATCATTATCTTTAAAAATTGCTTCTTTAAAAAATTTATATTTAATTTCCCAATATCACTTCAATAATTTTAATTATTGCATTTTTCTTCTTTTTGTTATCCATTAATCATTCTTAGTTGTATCTTTGACAAACCATGGAAAAATATATAATGATATTTTTATGTTAAAGAAATATTAGAAATGAGAATTTTACATAGCACATTATTTAAATATATTAATTGGATGCATTTAATTATTTTTTATTTAATATTCTATATAATATATCATATATAATATGTGATTTAGTGCAATTAAGTTAATATTTATTATAATGCATTTATGTAACACATCATAATGTTGCATTTATGTAACATTTAATATAACATTTAATAGCAAATATATATTTCTTTAAAAAAAAAATTATGAAGGCATAATTTATTTTTTGATTGATTTATATACATATATATTACACATAATATATATGTGTAGATATATTATATACGTATATAATAAGTATATAATAAATATTTACACATAATAAAAATCTGCATTATGATACCATTGGATATATTTTATGTCAAGATAGTATATTTAATTCGAAAAATTGCAAAATCGTCTCATTGATTCTTCCAGATCATAGTCACGATTGAAATGAAATTTTTAAAATATTGTTGCTACGTCATTATGATTTTCACCCGCTATTTACTTCATTTATGCAATAACTATGCTATATGTCAAATGCAACAAGTTACAAGTCTTTTCTTTGCAAATCCAAAATGAAAATTCAGAAAATAATGGAAATAAAATAGTTTGTCTAAATAATCAATAAAATCAGTTACTTGACGTTAGAAAGTCTTGTATGTGAGAAAAATATTTCATGAATTATCATTTTCATTCGAGAAGTGTGATGTTAAGAAAAAATGAGACTATGGTGGACGAGTGTATATTCCGTGCAACAGATAAAATACAATTTTTCTTATTTCAATCTTTTTCAATCATTTTCAAATTTTCCAGTTCTTCCATCAAATTTGTAGTTTCTTGAATGTTTTCCTTGAATTATAGATGTTGTTTGAATTTTGATTTTTAGATTATTTTTGTTTATGAATGAAAGAGATTTAAGATCTAGTTAAATCTAAGTTTATTTTAAAGAGATAGATGAAGAAATTGAAATTTAGAGAATTATTATAAAATAAATATTGAGAATGTATTATAAATAATATTATAAATAAAAATTATAAATAAATAGTTTTATAAAAAAATAAAATACTATTCATCAAAATTTTGAGAATTTTAAAATAAAGGCATTTGTAAATATTTTATATATATCTTATTTTTCGTATTTATTAGAATTATACAATTAATGAAATATATATTTTATCCATAATTAAGAATAAGATAATATATTATATTATATAATATATTAATATATAATAATTTAATTAATTTAATTAATTAAACTTTTAAAAATTAAAGATAATTTTAAAATGAAAATATTTATTATTATTTATTAAGCTCTTTTTAATTAATAATTAAGAGTTTAAATTAGTTAAGAATAATTACAATATAAATATTTTATATCTAATTTTAAAATCATATAATTATATTTACAAATTCTATTCTATTTGCTATTTTTACAATAAATAAAGCAATTTATAATCCTTTCGACGCGAATTTCTAAATAAATATTTACTTGAAAAAAAGTTCATATCATTCATAAACAATATTTTTTAAATATCTTTTATATTTTCTTGACTGAATCATTTAAATTCTATTTTCTTTTTATTCCAATTAAATAAATTTAAAATATTTTTACTGAAAATGAAAATAATAAATATTACAAACATGAATTATTTATTATTATAACAATATTTTATAGATATCAAAATATATAGAACTGAAGAAGTACAAGAATAAATTTACCAAGTTTTATTGATAGACGTATATTATATGTATAAATATTATGATAGAAGGTAAAATGGTAGAAGTTGACATTATCAATGTCAAATATTATCAGAAGCCTATGTCTTCGGAGTAAAAATAATACGTATCGTAAAAAAATATTTCCATATTTTTCTGGTATAATCAAATAATAAATATATTTAGATATATGATAATAAATATCAAAAAAATACAGTTAAAGTAATTTATTTTTCAAATATCTTATTATTACTTAAATAAAATTATTCAACATATTATCTTGCGAAATTTACACAAATTTTATTTCAATAATATATTTCGTTAAGATTTCAAATAATAGTATTATTATTTGAATAAGATGAATTTATAAAATAATAAATATCAATACAAATTTTTTATTCAAATAATTATTTAATCTTCATTTCAATCAAAGAAATTTATATCAAAATAAAAATTTAAATCTTTACTTCAATAATATATCATCTGTTTTCAAATCATTATTATCTAAATATCCAAATATCCAAATAAAATTTAACTTAATCTAAATTTTTATCATTAATATATCTAATTTTATTCCAAGTAAATATTTATTAAATATTATTTATATAAATAAAAAAAATTAAATAATATATTGTAAATCAAATAATTATTTAATTTTTATTTAAAAAAATAAATAATTAATAATTTAGGAAATTCTTTCTAAATATTATATTACTGTTTGAACAAAATTATTATTGTAAAACATAAATCACAAAAGCAAATGCAAACAAAATAAAAATTTTATTTAAATAATTATTAAAAAAAAATCTCTTTAATTTTTATTTTCATTATAGCATCATAATTATAATATAATATATTTAAATAATATATTATCTGAGAAGTTAGAATTGAGAAATTAAAAATAGAAATTATTTAATAGAATAAATATTTTGTTTACATACAATTCTATTTATATACATATTTTATTTTTGACTGATCAATTTTCTAATGTATATTCTCGCCATAAAATACGGTGTTTCAGAAGTATCGAGCCAGCCGGAGGCGGAAGACGCAAGTGCGAAGTACTGTTGTGAGGACTGCCTAACGATACGATGCTTCTTTCAAACTCTCGGCACCAAAGCTCCACGCTCACAACGCGTTTGGTTCTCGTGAGCATCGGTCGAAAATAGTCGGGACACATCAACATTAGTGAAAATCATCGAATGAACTTTATCTTTCGAAATATTTCACGCGATATTCTTCCTTCTCGACTAACAAAGTTAACTAATAAACACAAATGTCTGGAAAGCGAACGAAAATTCTTCGACGAATCGAAGAAATCCTTTCACAAATAGTTTTTTAGTGAATAACTAAGTGTGATGAATTTTAGTGATCTTTGAAATTTTTGTGTTTTATTTTATCCTGTATATAAATCGAATGAGAGTTTTATTCATAATTTTTATTTTTTATTTTTTTAAATTATTTTAATCTTGTAAATTTCTGTGTATTATGTGAATGCAACTATCAAAATTATAAATATTAATGTAAATTAAATGAAAGTCTATTTCTTTTTCTTCTATTTTTTTTTTTTTTTTATTTAATATCTATTCTATCTAAAATAAAATACGAAGCATAATGTGAATGATAAATCATTTAAATTAAATTTTATAAAATTTTTTTAAATGAAATTTTTGTGATAAAGGTATTGATAAAATTTTATCGTTTTTACTATTATTTTTGTTTTTTTAAAAATAAAATACGATATATTTAATAAATATAAGATTTCATATTTTCTACAAGAAAGATATTAATCTTAAATTTAACAATTATTCTTCTTTTTTCTTTCTTCAAATTTTCTCATAAATTAGAATATTTTATATTCAAATTTTAAGATAAAAATTTACTACGTTCAAAGAATTTTTTTATTGAATTTATAATACATATGATAAATGAATTTAATATATCATTGATAAAAAGATTTTTGTGAATAAAAATTTTTAGAAATAGTAAATATCAAATGTGAATAAAAATGAATATATGACAATTTTTTCTTTCCTTTTAAAAATATATTAATTTAATATTATATTTAAATTTTAAAATGAAAAATTATATATATATATATATTATTTTACTTCATATTTATATACAACATATTTTAAATGAACACAAAGTGTTTGAAAATTTTGTGAACAATGTGTTTATATAATTATGTTCGTTGTTAATATTCAATAAACAATTAGAAAATTTAATATAAAATTAATAGTGTCTCATGAATGAGTGTTTAATAAAATATCTTGAAAACGGTTTCTGTCTTTTCTTCTTTTTGAAAGATGTGTAAACGGAATTCTCTTAAAATTATCAAAGTATCTATCATGCTAGCATTATTAGTTTGAACGAAAAACAATTTTTCAACTTAGGACAACATTTTTTGCTAACGAGTAAAGAACGGTTGAATTCAAATTGTTTTTATTAATGAAATTTTCATAACAGATTTTTTCAATATATTTTAAAATTTTTTAAATTAATAAATAACTCATGAAAGATATTTTATTTTAGTATATGAAATATCTTTATTTTTAAAAGTTTTATAAAGTTTTTTTATAAAGTTTTTTTAAATTTAAAAAAAAATAATAAAAGATTCTATTTATGTTAACATATATTTTATTATTAAATTGTTAAATTACTATATTTAAATTGTTTTTATAAATAAGTAAAACAAACGAAGGAAAAAATTTATTTTCTTTTTAAATAGATTTTCTAATTCCGTATTTTATATTGATAAAATGAATTCTATTTTTGTCTTGACATTTGTACTGGATAAAAAATATTTTCAATAATATTGCATATTGTAAAACAGCTTTCAACATTTTTGTAAAAAAACTTGCTTGTGCAATCCAGAGAGCTCTTGTTTCTCGAATAAAAAAAATAAATAAATAATACGAACGAAATAACGAAATATAAAAATTATGAGGAGGATGAAATGCGAATAATTTCTGTTTCTTGTTTCTATATCTATATAATGTTTCTATATTTATATATATGTATATATAAAACAAAAACAAAAAAAAAAGAAAAAATACATTAAAATAATGAAAAGTGAGAAACATTTTATCTACATAAAAAATAAAATATCAATTTATTTCATAAATATTGGAAAATATTAAATTATTGATAGATTTTTTAAAAATATTTTTTTATAAATCATGACAATTAACTACATTAATTTTCTTTTATCTCAATCACAATTGAATTTTGTAATTTTATAAAAGAATTTTATAAAGAAAGAAGTTGATTGTAATATTGAAGTTGTAAAAAAAGAAGAAGATATTTTAAAGCGAATATTCTAAATGATTAATTAATAAATAACTTTAATAAATAAAATTATATAAAACAAAGAAAGTATAAATATTAAAATAAAATAAAAACAATTATTAAAAACAAAGAAAATTTAAAGAAATTGTGAGATGAGTATTAAAAAATATATATATAGCAGTTATTTAATACTATATATATATATATATTCTAAACAAAAATCTATTTAATTGACTTAAAACTATTTCTATAAAAATATAAAAAAAAATATTAAAAAAAAAATCAATCATTAACTTTTACATTATTCAAATTTAATTAGAATCAAGAATCTATTATCTACAACATTTAATTAATTAAATAATCATTACTTTCAACTAACGTAATTAATTAATTATGAATATTATTTATTACTATTTAATTATTGATAAATAATTTATTTTAAATTTTTAATTAATATTTTCATCAAGCAATTATTGAATTGAATTGAATTCCATTAATATTCAATTGCTGATTGATTATATTGATAATTAATACAATAACATTATTAACATTTTAATTAATTGATATTAGTAAATTAATCAAATATTTAAAGAAAATACCGCTCAACTGCTTTAATTCTTTTATAATTTAATTAATCTCGAATTATTTTCATATTTCCGTTGAATCAAAATTATTTAGTTTCTCGAAGTATCTAGAAATTACTCAATGCTGACAATTATTAAAAAGAATAATATTCTATTAACGATAAATGATGTGCAAATGTTAAATGTTAATTACTGTTAAGAGACTGATAAGAGCTTTCGTTTCCGTTAAGCATAAAAATGTTAAAATTTGATAAGATGTATGATAGAAATATATCACAGAATTTATTTAGATTAAAGTCTGAAGAAAAAAATAGTGTAAGAACAGAGATCGATCTCCAAATTTTTTCATAATTGAAAGAGATAAATTAATTACGATAATGTTAAATGATATTGGAAAGGAATACAATTATAAAATGTGATTAATTATTGTGATAATTATTGTAGATAATTGAATTTAAAATTTGATTTAATTTTAAAGAATTTGTTAATGATGAGGATTAAAATTATGACGAAAGAAGTTCAATCGCTATGAATTGAAGTGTAAATTCGATGTATATAGCGATGTGAATAATTTGATACTGAAAAGAAGTTTATTTTCATTCAAGAAGCTTGACAAGAAAATAAGAAGCGATGAATTTGAAGTTTGTAGGTTTTTTTAAAATGAATTTTATTGATTTGTACAACGAAAAAGAACAGGAAATTTATGACGAATAGAATCTTTTACCTTTTTAATAGAAAAAAGAAATGAAAAATTTTGAAAAAAAAACAAATATGATAAAATTAAATAAATATTTTTTATAACAAATTAAAGAACTAAAATTAATATTAAAATATAAATTTAAAATAGATTCTCAAAGAAATATATAATTTAAAAAAAATTTTAATAGTTTAATGATGAAAAAAATGCAAAATTGTTTTTTTCTTCACCTATTATGAAAAGAAAAAAAAATATTAAAATGATGTATTAGTTATATATATATAATAAATTAAAGTTTTAAATGAAAATTTAAAGAATTTTAAAATATTAATATTAATATTTTATATGAAAATTAATATAATTAAAATATAAGTTTTAAGTGTAAATTTATTAATTATTAAATATAATTGAAGAATTGTAACACCAAGAAGGAAAAGAAGGAAAGAAGAAATCTGAATGAATATTATACAATATTTGATAAATTGAAAAAATTGAAAGAAAAACTTCGAAATATTGCATTGATGGATCATCGTGGAAAAGAATTTTCAATGATATATGTTATAATATATAATATATAATATGTTATAATGTATAAGAGAAACAGAATATAAAATTCTTGAATTAAAAGAAGAATTAATATAATATTATAAAAAAATATTTTAAATAATTATTTTACATATTTAAAAAAATATTCTATTGGTTCCAATTAATAAATTAATTAAATTAATTCATTAATAAATTAAAAGAAGAAATTATTTCAAACTTAAAACATCTTTAAAATATAATACATCTTTAAAATATAAAATATAAAATATAATTTTTCAGTAATTTAGAAAATCTGTACATGAAAAATGAAATAATTATTCAGAATATGATGTATTAAATTCATATAAAAAGAAATTATATATATATATATATGAATTCAAAATGTCTCACATTTAATTAAATACATTTAAATTATAAGAAAAACAAGAATTAATTAAATATATAATCCATTACAACTATTAAAAAATAATTCGATTAGAAATAATTAAAAGTATTTCAATTATTTCTAGTTTAAAACAAACAAAAAATACAAATAAAAGAAAAAGGAATTTTTCTAAATAATAGAAAAAAATGATGAATTCATTATTGTCTGGAAAAGAAACAAGAGAAAAAGACTGTATTATTTTGAAATATTTCAATAATTGAAAACATAATAAATAAATTTTTATGATCATATGTGTATCAGTCACAAATGTAATATATCAAAATCATTGCAATGATAAATCATTCATGATAAATTGAGAAATTTAATGATTGTTGCAAATTGATATGAGGTGATATGAGGCAAATTGATATCAAAATTATATTAGCAGATTATCACAATAAAATTAAATTAAAATAAAATAAATATTAAAATAAATATTAATTATATTAAAATAAGTTACTATTCTATAAGATTATCTAGAAATCAATTGTTTTGATATTAATTTTTTATTAGAATAAAACAAGATTGTAACAATGAAAATTTTAAGAAAAGTATTGTGAATTACATATACGTATATTCTAACAAATAATTCGATATTTTACAATTTTCTTTTCATAATTTTTAATATAATTTAATTTATTTTATCTGTTTTACAATAATTATTTTTTGATTTTTAATTTTTGATTTTTGATCCACATTTTTCATATTATTCTTTATTTTTTGAAATTTTTTTAATGTTTCATATTTTTCACAATTTTTACTTTATTTAACGTTTTTTAATACTTAACAATTTTTATTTTAAAATATTTATTTTATAATATTACAATATTTATATTTTTTAATATTTCACATTTTTTTCTTAAAAATTAAAAAACTTTTTAAATTTTTGAAAGAATTTTCAATATTTCAAATTTCTCATTTATTTATTTAAATATGTTCATTTCCATAAATAAAGAATTAAAGTTTCCAATCATGAAGAAAAACGATTTAAATAATTTAAAAAGAGATCAAAAATAATTGATTTATAAACAAGATAGTTTGATTTAATTAGACGATCGAATAATTAATGCTGCAGTTAATAATGAATTGATTATCAGGATGAAAAAAGAAAAGATAAAATTTACATATAAAAACAAAATTTATAAATATTTTCTGCTATGTTTACGATTCATTCGATAATTAAATGAAATTAAATCGTTTTACGTTATAATGTCACGTATTAATTATATCAAAGATATTAATGATATGGTATAAAAATAAAGTAACATACAAATTGTAATTAAAATTTCAATTATTATTTCAAAGAATTTTCACCATTAAAGAATCGACAAACAATATTTGGTTCGAACTCAATTATACCGATATAATTCAGTTCCGATATGATTGAACATGAGAATCTAAATTGATTCTAAATTGGCGCGAATATAGAATTAATCAAATTCTTATAATGAAAATAAATCTATCATTTAGATTTATATTTATAAAATATTGAAAATATATTAATATATTACTAATTATTTAGATTAAAAATCTCAGAAAAAAATAAATATTTACAATACTTATTTCCCAATAAATTTAATTAAAAAATATAAAAATTTGTTAAAAAAATTAAAATAATATTCATAGAAAAATTATTTTTAAAAAATTATTTTTAAGAAATTCAAAATACTTAAATTTATTTCATCATTTAATTGAGAATTCAATTCGTGAAATTTATTTGAAGAAGTCAAAAGAATCCCATCGCTCGGAAATATCTTGCTCGGAAGATGATTTCGCTTCCACGCGTGGCTTGGCCGTTTTGCAGATCTAAAGAACTATAGTAAATCCAATCTGCAGTGTTAACGATTTTCTATTAATATGTCTTCGAGACAAACAATATTTTCTATTCGTCACTTTGTCCCTGAGGATAATGGCCGACCATATTTCAAGTGAATGACCGAATGATTTATTTTTAAAATCTCAAATCGATTCATCAGAATCCATAAATATTCGAACTGAATGAGTTTTTTAATTCTGACAATCTAACAATCCATATTTCTTCTATTTTTTTTTTATAAAAATTTAATAAAATCAACTTAATGGAGATCAAAAAAATCAAATCCACAATTTAACAATTGGATGACATCGATAGTATCAATGATAGATACACGAATACATATCAGATCGATATCATTAATTAGTGTTCAAATTGGCCAAAATTTACTTAATCATCGTCGAGAAATACCAAAGATTCCTCTTCTTCTTTCAAAATATTAGATCACTAAGCCATTAAATTATAATTATAGTGAATATACATAAAAATAATAATTTGACTTGAAAGTGAATGAGATTTATTAAAGTTAATTCGCTAGTCAAACTAATTGTGATTATTTAATTCATCAGAATCTCAGGGAATCATTCGAAAAAATGATTTTAAGAAACGAATCTATGAAAGAATCAATCGATATCATGATGGAGATAAGCGAAAATTGCAAAGAACAACTGATACCTAACGATTATATTTTGGATAATTACACAAATCCAATAGTCGAATTTCTTCAACAAGAAGATTCATCCATCAGAAGAGATCCATTGTATATTGTTTTACCAATCACTGTGATTTATGCGGTGATCTTTGTCACCGGTTTGGTCGGTAACATTTCCACATGCGTAGTGATTGCGCGTAACAAGTCGATGCATACGGCAACCAACTACTATCTGTTCAGCCTAGCCGTGTCTGATTTACTGCTGCTGATATCTGGTCTGCCACCGGAGATGTATTATATCTGGTCACATTTTCCGTATGTGTTTGGCGAAGCGTTTTGCATTATTCAAAGCTTCGCTGCTGAGACGTCCGCTAATGCCACTGTCCTCACTATCACCGCTTTTACTGTCGAGAGGTGTGTAAAAAGTTTTCGAAAGTTATATCTATTTAACAAAGTAAATTAATTTTTTGAATCTTTTTAAGTCCAATTTTAACTCTTTTAACACAAATATATATATTTATATTCCCACGATTAATATTATTGAGTATATTTGTATTTCATATTCTTTTGAAAATTATTTTCAAATTTAATTTTTATCACAAATTCCGTAAATATTTCTATTTATGATTTTTATTAGATTATATTATATGTCGGTAAAATAAAGTAATGAATACATTATTATCTTAATAACATTACTCGTAAGCTATTTATCTTTAGCTATATTAGATCAACGCAATATTGTCATGAACAAAATTGTTATAATGTTTTATCACACTATATCATTTATAAATGAAACAATATTTAATTAATTATAATTATAAAACAATATAATATTTTCTATATTTATATATTTTCTTTGCTATATTATAATATAATTTTCATGTTCATAAAATATAAATATTCGATTAATTAAAATAAAAAATTTATCATAACATCGTTTTTGAAATAAAAATGAAAAACATTATTGGAATATATATTATATATATAACTGTGACAAAAAAAGAAAAAAACATTTATACAACATTTTTTAATTCCAATTCACACTATAATAATCAAAAATAAAAATTAGTCACTTGTATAAAAAATACGATGCTGTGTTGAAAGAATTAAAATAAATTCTTTAATTTTAAATTTAGTTCGAATCGATAAAAGCAATAAATATTTTAGTTTATTTATTTGATAAAGTAAATCAATTCTTGACTTTTTGTTAAATTTTAAAATAAATCTTTCAGATTTAAATTTAATTAGAATCATCTTATTTAAGAAAATAAATAGATTTTTTTTAATTTTATACATAGTTTTAAAATGCATCTATTTCAAAGTTAGATTCAAAATTAGATTCAAAACTAGATTCAAAATTGAACATATTTGAAAAAATAAATCGATTCCCTGAATTTTTTAGATATACTATTTTTAGATATACTATTTTTTTTATTTAAAATATCTTAGTTATTATTCTTCTTTTATTTTCCAAGATACATTGCAATATTTTATTATATTTTTTAAAATATTTTTTATCTTTTAAATAAGTTAAAAACTTATCTTTTAAATAAGTTTATGTAAAGTTTATCTAAAAAAATCAGATTTATTTATCTAAAAAAAAATGGTACAAGGAAAATTTTAAATCTTTGGAATATTTTTTCGAAAATTTTTTTGAAAAAGATATTTTGAAACATTCATAGAATATTCTAACTAGATAGAACATTTTTAAAAGAATATAAGAATATAAGATAGATAAGTATATAAGAAGAACATTTTTAAAAGAATATAAGAATATAAGATATATAAAGATATATAAAGATATATAAGAAGAATATAATAAAATAAATTTTTATGTTTAGCATGAATTAATCAAATGAAAAATTAAAATGTAAAATCTGTTTGGAAAAATGTTTTAAATTTAAATTTTAGAATTAACCGTTTTATTATAAAATGTGATTAAAGTTCAAGGTTTTCGGAAAAAAGTATAGATTCATCCATACTTTGATTATAATAAGTTTACATAATATGAAAAAAGATAAAAAATACGTTGTCAGTAATTTCATCATTTTTTAAAAAATAAACATATTTCATCACTCTTTATATTATATAAGAGCATAAAAAAAATTTCATGTATATACATAATTAAAAAGAAATAAATAAAATTATAAAATATCATAGTATGTTTATGATACATAATAGCGAATATATTAATTTATTCTGAGATTCTGATTTTTGCAGTTTTTATGTATAATTTATGGAGAATTTAATAAATACATATACATATAGAATTCTAACTAGAAAATAGAAAACTTCATAATAGAAAATACACAATTAAATTGCTTATAATCTAACTGTACAGACATTTATATAAATTTATATACATTTATATACATTTTTATAAATTTTTTCTTGACATGATTTTAATTAAATTTTTTTATGTTTCTTTTAACATTCAATCCACTATAATCTATCTAATAAGATGAATAGACATAAAGAAGTAGATGTGATCGATACACGAGTATTTATATACTATGCGTATATACAATTCTATTCACAAATTTCAGATATAAGATGATTATGATGCAAGTTTTGATAAGTACTCTCACTTAGTGCTTTAAGCTGATTATGTTTTATTATGATTTATGCTTTATAGCTAAAACTATAATATTACATATACAGTGGCTTTTAAAAAATATTTTAATTTTTAAAATTCATATTTTGATTTGAATTTTTTTTAAAATGTTAGAAGAATTAAATAATGTATAAAAAGTAATGTATAAAAAATTGCAATTGCATCAGAATTGCAAAGAAAATATATCATGCATTTTGATAATTTTAAAAAATAATTTTAATAAATTTTAAAAAATTTTTTTATACATTATTTAGTAAACTAATCTTCCAAATCTTAAATTATCTTGAAAAAAATTCAAATCATTTTGTTCAATTTTAAAGTTATTCATTTTTAAAGAGTATATTTTAAAAACTGATTATAGGAATCATATTAATAACGCATAATAATCATAATAATTACTTGTGACAATCGACAAAGAACATTCAATTAACAGTCAATAATTTGTAAACATTTATGTTGTTTTACTTCGTTGAATAGATTATATTATACTATACTATATACTATATATACAGACTACACACACACATATATATATATATTTAAAAAATTATTTCGGAAAATAACTATATATATATAAAAAGTTATATATTATATAAAAAGTTATATATTAAAAAAGTTATTCATAATTTAGATTTGTTTTTATACTTTTATCTATTAAAATGTTTCTTGTAAAGATATCATTTTGTTTTGTCGCTATTTTTATTTATAAATTTGTAATTAAATGTTTATATATATATATATATATAAAAATATAAAAATATTTTTAATTGAAATATATGTATATCAATGTAAAGTATATGATATTTACCAAAACATTTAATTACAAATTCATAAATAAAAATAGCGACAAAACAAAATAATATTCTTATAAGAAATATTTTGATAGATAAAAGTATAAAAATAAATCTAAATTATGTTTCGATAGTATCTAGCTTATTAACGAAAATGCTTCGTTATTATTAAATATAAAAAAATTTCATGTTTCAAATCTTTCATTTCCAATAATCAGATTAAATAATATTCTAAATATATTTGAATTTAAAATATTATTTTAATAATAACTTTTCAAATATTATTCCAAAAAAAACAAACAATATTTTTAAATATATTCGAGATAAATTGAAATTTTTATGTTGCTGACTTTTTTGTTTCTTTTATGTAAAGAAAAAAATCGTAGATAATATTGATAATATTGACATTGAATAAAGACTATCGAAAAACTGGTTGAAAGGATTAAAAAGATATTTGAACTGATTGTAGATATTTTTTCGTTTACCGATCCTTTGAAACAGGTGATTGATCGAGACAGTTTTGTTTAAGAGTTCGTTCATTTCGAAACATCGAAATCGAATGTTCGGTTTGATGAATGGAGGAGTTTTGAGAGCTTTAGTTATTTTAATTATTTGATTACATTTTACGCAGTATTTAGGGTATTTTTCTAATTTTAGCTTTATAAAAAGATATAAAACATTTTTATGCTTAAGATATGAAAAAAATATGATCTTATAATTCCATCATCTTGTAATTGAATCTTAAGTTATTTCTACAATTTCTTTTAATTATATTTCAGAATCCTTCAAGATATTAATTAATCTTTAATTATCAATAATTAATCTTTAATTAAAAAAAATAATAAAAAAAAAGGAAATCAAAATTTCAATAGCAATTAACTTTAATCTTCTAGTAACACATTTATTATTTATATTTATTTAATAATTTAAATAATTTAAATAATTTAAATAATTTATATTATTTTAATGTATGTACAAAAATATTCTTAAAATTATTAGAGAAAAATTTATTTATATTTTAAACTATTCAATTTCCATAATTATAGCATGAGTTCTTTAATTAATTTAATCTTAAATTAATTTAAATTAAACTAATTAAATAATGAAAGAAAGTCATTGAAAATAACAGCGATTATATTTTATCATTAAATATATTACTTTTTTATATTATTTATATGTGAAGTTTTAAATCAATAGAAGATTTTGTTATCTAATATTTTAAAAAAATTATTGTAAAAATAATGTATAAATATTAATATAAAAAAAATATTATTTTGTAAGTGAATTATTTTTCATTTAAAAATAGTAAAATAGTGCAAAGTAAAAGTATTAATGAAAAAAATAAGATATAATTTGATATAATAGAATTAATACTTTTATTTTTCCTTTCTAAAATTATTCTTGTTAAAAAGAAAAGAGAAAATAAAATTTCTTTCCTAAAAATTTTCAATAAATATTATTAAATGTAAATCGATCTCTCAATGTTTCACCATGCAATTCTAAGCCTGCTTTTAATCTTTTGATAACTACAATAAACTAAAGCATCCTGGATTAAAAGCATCAAGCTTAAGCTTATATGTCATCTCGTCACATGGAAATTCCCATAACCGTCAGAAGTAATCTTTTCCGCTTGTCACAAATTGACTGTCTCCGAATCTTTCAAGTTTCTTCTTTTTTTTTTTTTTTTCTTATTTCTGGAAAAAAAGCTTGAAATTTCTTTTTTCTTATTTCCAGAGAAAAAGTTTCGATCTTCGTTTCTCTGTATCTCGTGACGAATAATTGAATACGATGTAAATTATTGTAAAATGATTTGAGATTTATAATAAATATTTTTTGAGTCTGAAAATACTTATCATCTTTCGTCTGAATATATTACTATTATTAATGATTTTTTTAGTTAGACAATTGACTTTAGACAATTGAGAAATTTTTCAAATACTATCAAATTTATGAATTTTTTTTATATAAAATATAGCAATGTTTTTTTTATGGTCAATTATTAACTTTTTTTAATTAATAATAATTATAACCACAGTATTATCTCTATATTATTTTATATCTTTACAAAGGAATTGAAGTGAATTGTATTTTTTATCTTAAAATGTTATCTATGAAAGTATTGGCCATTTTTGAAAATTCATAAAAGATTTTTTAGTGATAATGAAGTTTAATTACAATAAATTTTTAAATTCTAGAATATAAACAAATATTATTATGATACAATTAAAATGTAACAATTATAATTTATTGTATATCTAAACGTTAATTATAATTGCTAAGAAATTATATATATATTTTTAAAATATAATAAATCTTTAGTAATTTTATAAAAGAAGCAACATGATATTTAATTAAATAATTTCTTTGTACAAAATTATAAATACAAAGATTGTGTTCTATTTAAATTAATGTGAATAAATATAAATTTATAATATTATTTCTCTAAGAAACATTTTAATTTTACTAATAATGTTTTTATTAAGATAAATTGAATTGTTTCTAGATAAAAAGATTGTTTTCTTGTAAAGAATAACTTTTATAGAAATGCACAATCGCGATATATTTTTATAAAAATATATTTTATAACATTGTTTTTTTTCAATATTAAAATATTATAAATTTTATTATAGAATGAAATAATATAAGAATAGTAAAAAGGAATTGAAATAGAAAAATTTTTTGTAAAGATTAATTTTATTTTTGAAATTTTTAAAAATGTTATAAGAATATTGTAAAAGAATATTTTTCATTTTTTAAAAATTATCATTTCTGAAAAATTCTTAATTTATTTTGTTGTTTTTTTAAGCACGATTCCTCTTAAGATTTTGTAAAAAAGGACATTGTTGTATAAAACGATATTCTAAATTTTCTTTACAAAAATTATAGTACAACAATAATATTTTATCTCTTAAATCTAAATAAGAATCTGCGAATACTTAAGAACTTTCTCAACTTATTTTGAACAGTTTTTTTTAATTTACCGTGAAAAACGAAGATGAGGACAAGTAAAGAAGTTTTATATTGTTTTTCTTAGAATTTTAATAATAAAAACAATAATAATAAATTATAAATAATATTATTTAGTTTTATCTTTTTATATCACGATTTTATTGTCTCAATTATAATATCTGCTTGTTCAAATTTCTGAAAAATTTTCATTTATCATTTATCATATAATAATTTATTATTATTATTAATAGTATTAGTATTAAGTATTAGTAGTAGTATTAGTATTAATATTAATATTATTATATTATTTGTCTCTTCCGTTTTTTAAAAAGTATTAAATTGATGAGATCGTGATAGTTGATATCCTCAAGTTTTATTTCACTCCGATTATATTAAAAAATACTTGTATTATATTGTACATTTTTAATATCTTATTATATTTGTATATATATTTAGGACATTTGAGACATTTGAGATAAATAAATTTTTTAAATATATTATGTATTTTTTGGAGATATGATGATATAAAATAAAATAATATACACTTTCTGTTGTTTCCAAATTTTTTTGTGTTTTTATATAATATTATATAATACTATATAATACTAATATATATTTTCTTATTTTTTCACAATATTTATATTGTATGTTTTATCATATTATTATTTTTTAAAATTGCAATAATTTTGATATTGAGATGTTGATTAGATATTTTATATGTGAATATTATATCCGATTAATTATATTTGATTATTGATTTCTTGATTGTTTTAGTTATGTATGTGTAGTTGTATATATATATTATTTTATTCTATAAAAAAATGTTATATAAATATATAAAATTATATTTAATATGCAAAAATATTTTTAATTTCTATTTACATTTTTTTAGTTATTTTCATAAAATTATATAAATTTTATAATATATAAAAAATATTTGTATCATGAATGACAATTATTTAAAAATTGTGATTGTATCTAATAAATCCGAAAACATGTTCTAAGAAAATAAATCATTAACAAAAACTTGTAAGTCATTTAAATGGAGAATAATATTCATGAAATATAAAAAAAATTTATTATAAGCCAATAAATCTATTATAAATCAGATGATATTGATTTATGAACAATTTTACAATAATAAATAATGATTATATGTAAAAAATTTTTTTTATATCAATATCCATTAATTTTATTTCGATTATTCATAATAATTATCGATAAAAAATTATTTCGATTACATTCAATTAACTAAACTTTCAATTTTTTAATTTATATTTTATTCGATCAGAACAATTTATTAATATTAAGCAATCAATATAAATTTATTTCATCAATAATGATTATTAGTACCAAAAAAAAAAAAATATCACGTATAATCGTTATTTGTAAAATATAAAAACCCAAAATATAGTCGAAAAAATAATTATTACAACTTTTTTCATTTCGTTATAACTATTATACTTCCTGGTTGATCTTATATGAAAATCACCATGACAAATTGTAACGAATATGTCAAAACACATAAACATATTCACAGCATACGAAAGCCATCATCTCACATTAATCTCAATTTTCCGGTTTTTTAATGCGTTTCGATCATAGTCGAATCTTTTAAAATCTGCTAACAAATGAAAAAAAAAAAAATTTGACGAAAAAATATACTAACTATGTGTATTATCTTTTTCAGATATGTCGCGATCTGTCATCCTTTTATCTCGCACACTATGTCAAAACTGTCTCGTGCAGTGAAGTTCGTCATAGTGATTTGGCTATTAGCATTATGTCTGGCCGTACCACAGGCGATTCAATTCGGGGTCGTTTATGAAAATAAAAATGGATCGATAATTCTGGATACAGCTCGATGCTCGATGAAATGGACATTGATCGAACATGCATTCGAGATATCCACTATGTTATTTTTTGTCCTACCTATGACGATCATCATCGTTCTTTATATATTGATCGCGATTAAACTGAGACGATCGAGAATGTTGACAGCTACTGTGAACAGGAACCATTTATCGGTTGTTACGAATCATTGGGACAGCGGAAGAAAAAGCGCTGCGCAAAGGAATGTCATTCGAATGTTGAGTGAGTAGAAATATAAAGACTTTATAGATGGTAATTTTATAGATATGATGTTATTATAACATCGTATTTCTTTATAGCTAAACATAAGTAAATAATTTGGGAATGACATTTTATACATATGCAAATCTATAATTTTTATTATTATATAATATTTTAATAATTTATATTTTATTTCAAAAATGAAAATAAAAAAATAGAAAAAAATATGTGAATAATTTAAAATGAGAATAATATTTTATATGTAGATAATTTCTGTTATTAGCATTTTAATAATGTTATAATAAACATTTTTTTCATTTTAAAAGTCAAGTGAATAAAAATATATTATAAAAATATAGAGTATAGGGCCAATTTAAACTTTTGTATTATATATTGTATTATATATTTTGTATTATATATTGTATTATATATTAGAATTATCTAATATATTAATTAATTACTTTTACAAAGTAGATAATTGCAAGTAGATTTATAATTTAATTTAATCTAATGAGTATATATCTATTTATATTATAATATTTTCACAATAGTTTCGTACAGAAATAAAAAAAATTGGAATTAAAAAATATTCAGAAAATATAAATTTAAATTCTTTAAAGTGTACTATTTATTATTTTAGATATTTGATTGTTTATATATTATTACGATCGTTTATATATTATTACATAGAACAAAATTTATTATTATACTTTTTCTCTTCTATTTTCAATTGGAATGCGATTCGATTGTAGAAATTTGTTAATCTAATAATTATTTATATGATATACGATGATTATTCTTTTTTCATTAGCAATATGTTTTTTTATTAATTGAAAGTATGTAACATATTCTTTTCTTAAAATCAATATGATTCAATATTGATCATATCATTTAATTATATCATCTTATTTCGATAGCATCAAACAAACTTCCACATAATCTAATATTATCAAGAATTCTGAACATTTCTTCTTGAATTGTACAAAAATAATTAATTACAAACTAATTAAAATTTATCTATTAAAATGTATTTTAGATATTAAAATGTAATTTTATATTAAAATTTAAAATCTTTTTATCGAAAATTTATTGTCTCTCAATTGATCCAAAAAAAAAATAAATTTTTTTTTCTTTTTTCCATTAAACTGTAATCTAGTGTAACGAAAACTAATTGTAAGAATAGAAGTTAATCATTGATAGATAGAAAATAGATAAAGTTGAACAAAAAAAGAATCACGTACTTATATGCTTACGACTCCATCAATTAACGAATTGTGATCAAATTCACAGAAATATAGTTTAAATATAATTTTGAATAGTTCACTCTAACTCTCTCGAATTATGAAATTGCATTTTTTGATATACATTCGCGAAACATATATTTATGAAACCCGTAAAATATTAATTGAGACAAATGAAATAAAAAGACTCAATTTTCACAAAATTAGAAATTAATTCATTTATTTATTTTATTTTATTTTTTATTATTCTCATTTTATTTCTTTGTTTTTTTACTTATTTATTTTAAATTCACAAAAAATTTTAAGTTATTTAAAAGTTAAGTTAATTTACAAAATTTATTTATTGTATCAAAATGAAATTCGGTATGTGTTTTTTTCTAGATTTAATAAAAAACTAAAAATTCAGAAATCAAATATCAAAATTATCCAAATATATTTTTGAGATTTTATTAAAATTTTTTAAAATTGAATTATTTTTATAATTGTATAATCTAATAAGTTATTTAATTAATTTTCTTTATTTTTTCAATTTAATATATATATATATTAACTATCTATATTTATCTACTTATATTCTATTTCCAAAAAATTTTTTATTGAATTGAAATTAATCAAATTTGTCACTCATAACATTTATTATATAGTTTACTAACGTTAAAGTTAAAATGTTGTTCTTGTTTTATTATTAGTATTTATGTTGTTCTTGTTTTATTATTATTACTTATTATTATTTTCAATTTTGTTTCATAATTTATTTGCATAATAAAATATATTTTGAATATATTTATTTTATTGTATATAATTTTATTTTTAAATTATCCTATATCGAAGTTTTCATAAAAGTTCATAAGTAAACTTGAAAGAGATTAAATTATCTTTGATTCACAAAATTTTATTCATTCTTTAATTTAAACTTAAAGTTCTAATAATTCATTTTTCCTTTTATTATTAATAAATTTGATTAGATTATCATTTTATTGCGTTTTCAAACGCATTTTTGTTAAAAGGTTATATTCAATCATATTCGAGCAATCATCATTTCATTAAACCACATGCTATACATCCACATTTATATAAGATAATAACCATTATATGTGCATATATGTACTAGAATATATTCTCAGTTTTATATATAGTTATAATATTGCGGCAAATTTTTATTATTTATCAAAGATAAACGGCTAAATCTAAAATAAAAATAACATTTTATTTGAAATTTTTATTTTAAATATGAACATTTATTATTATATTTTATTAATATTTATAGAATATCTATTATTGTACATATATTTCTATTATTAGTATATTGATAATACGTACTTACTTTTAAATCTGAATAATGTTTTATAAATATGTTTTATATAAATATGATATAATTATAATATCGTGACATAAATTTCATCATAAATTTCTAATAGAATTAAATGATAAACTGTAATTAACTTTTTTCAATTTTAATTATTTTATTTTTTTTTCCAATTTTTTCTTTTAAGCTTTATGTTAGTAAAATAAGAAATCAATCTGAAAAATCGAAAAAGCAATACTTTCCATCATTAAGAAAAAAAATATTGTTACTATTCTATATATATAGAATTCTATCTGCGTCTGTGACAAAATAAATTGACAGATTTGAAATATCTCAACTGCAACCTACATCGAATTGAGAGAAAAATCATCTGTAAAAATTATCATTGTTGTTAGTATTTATCCAAACTCATATAATTATAATTATAACTTTAATCGAGGATTATTTTATATTTATTTTACATTCTGAAAAACAATACTAAGAAATAATTAAGAATAGCTTAAATTCTTAATGAATATATAAAGGAATATATAAAGGAAATGTGAAGAAACATGAAAAGAACATATTTCGAAAAAAAACGTAAAAAAAAGTAAAAGATCATTCTATTGAAATTCTATTTTCTAATTGATAACATTGAAAACTATCTAGTTATAAGTTTATGTAGTATTATTAATCTTCTTTTATCTATTTTTTCGTACATTTTTATAAAAAAATATATTTTGTTCCTTTCATAAATTAATTATATTGAAAGGAATAATATAATAATAAAATTAGAATATTAAATATTATTTTATTAATTATTATTTTTTCAAATATTTTTAATTATTATATAGTAAAATTATAATATTGATTTATTTTATCAATTTATTTTATCAATATAAATATTATGCTATTACCAATATAACATTTTTTTAAAAAAAAATTTTTTTTTAAAATTCTAATTTAGACTGATTTTCTTTTTTTTTAGCATATAGCATATTATATGCCAATTCTACAATTCGAATAATAGTTGATCCGCATATTTTAAATAATTTGAAAGACTTCTTCATTTATGGTAAATATTTTTTTCTATTACTATTTTCTAAATCCTTTGCTCAAATTTATGAGCATATTTTTGAAAAGTTTTATAAACTTTTTGTATAAGAATATGTTGTGATAATATATTCTGAAAGATTTGTATTTAAATAAACATTAAAAATATTGTTTCATTTATTTTAATCGGAAAGAAGAATCAAAGTATTTATATTTATTTTTAAATATTAAAAAAAATTAATTATTTATTGATAAAATATTAATAGCTATAGTATCTAACAACAGTTTTTATAATCGGATTGATCTTTTTTCCTTAAGAAAAGAAAATATACACTTATTATATTAAAATCTATATTAAAATCTATTTAAATGAAATTTATACTATAATTAAATATATTATATTTATTATTTATAATTACCATAATTAATTATTAAATTTTAGATTGGATATTTAAATTATGGATTTATGAAAAATTATTAATTATTATATTTAATGTATAAAAATTATTTATATAATTTTTAATTTCTTTTAGAATAATAATTACTATATAAAATGTAAATAAAATACTATGTAAATATTTAGTAAAAATTTTCTCAATATAAATTGACGATACTTGAAATTTAAATCTAAAACGAAATAATAATTTAAAATTAATAACTTGTATTGTATGATAATAATATATTCTAAAAATATCACCTAAATCAATTATTAATTCTGTTTATAATTTCAACGTGTAATATTAAAAGTCATAATTTAGAAAGTCATAATTAAAATTATTTAATATAAGATATATATATATAACTAGTTCATAAATGCTAGATTTCATATAAAATAGAATCGACCAAATTAACACAAGAAAGATTAAAAAGAGAGATTAGGTATTCCCAAGATTCATGTTTATAGTTGAGAAATAGTTGGCTTTTTCCAAAGCAAAGGTACAAGAATCAATTCATTCAGTCTCGAGAAGTTCCATCCTTCTACTTGATAGTCCCTAAAAATAGTTTCTTTAGTAATAAATTCTTTTACGAGCGACGAGACGGTTTCGAACGACACACAAAATTTATCGTCTCCGGATGTTTCCTATTGTGCTTCGAATCGTTGCAATTATTGTTATTCAAATAGAAATTTGAATAATGAAATAAAATGTTAAATTGATTTAAAAGAGTAAATAATATAGAATAATTAATATATATAATATAATTATTTATAATAATACAATTATTTATACAAAAAATATTAAATATGATATATTAATTGGAAAATCAATTCTCAATAATGAAAGAAACACAAAAATTGAGAAGAGCAAGAATCATATAATGATTAGAGTTGATATATTAATATATAAAATATTTATAATAAATTAATTTGTTAGAATATTTTTTTATTTTCAATTATAAATAATTTTATTTTAATTAATTGGCAGTGCATTACATTATAGCAT